ATTACACCACAGGCACGAAATAGTCCATCTAACAGCAGTCGTCGCTATTTTTAATAATTATATAATAGTATTATGCATATATATTTATATATACATAATATATATATAATACACGTACTATATATATACTACGTATATACTATCTATATATAGAGATTAACATTACAATTTGCACTATGTACTTCGTTCGTTACGTCTAGCGTCGGTTTTGCATGTTTTCTTCTCTTGTTCATAGCAGAAAATAGCCAGAAAGCGAACGTCGTACAGAGATATTTTGCGTATACAGGCGTGACACGCGTGGTTTCGAGTAAAAACACGTTAACATTTAGAAGAAAATAGGCACAATCGATGGCAACGATGAGCTCCTGTTTAAAGTATCTCGCGCGTTGCTTCGATCAACGTGCGACAGTCATTGTTTCCATTTGGATCGTCAACGGAATAATCATTCGTCTTCTCTATCTTTCACCGTTTCTTCCTGTCTAAGCTACGTCTAAACACTCGAGGACTTCCGCGATGAAACGTCGATTCAAACATCGTCCGAAATTGATTTATGCCGACAAAGGGATCGACCGATGATCGATCGATCACAGAAAATGAGCGAAGAACGTCTAAATATCGCCTTGATCAACGAGGAGACCTTTTTTTTCGTTTCGGGAAGGTGTGTCTAAGCTACGAATTGAGGTAGAGTTACATATGGTAAATTCGAGTCAATGTATAAATACAGAGGGGAAACTACTCAAGACAGCTTTGGTGATTCTGCTCGACAAGTGGCGAACGAAAAGGATCAATCGTTTCTGGGTACCGAGTGACAAGCTTCCAGGATACATCATAGTCTCACGATCGTGATTGCTCGCGTACCGTTACCATTTCGGGTCGTTATCGTTACCATTACTGTCAGTATACCTAACGATATTATCGATACACGTTACACTTATCAACTGCATTTCTATGCAACGACTAGAATTCCGTTGAACTATATGTGTACTATCACCATTGGTATTAATGTTAATATGAGAACTCCACTTCGGATAGGAAACAACGAAGCCGATCCAACGAAGCGAAACTATCCTGTCAGATCTCGAACAGAGATCCTATCGAAGATCGACGGGTTATCGTGATTTAGATCTTCCAATATACATTTTATGACTATTTTATGACTATCCTTCACCGATACGTAGAAAATCCGAGATATCTCGTCAACAGCCATTCACAATGCATAAAAAAATCTCGAAGATAATTCAAAAGAGTACATGGAAGCAATTGCTCTCTAAATAGCAAATTCAAGAACTCGAAGCTCGTAGAGCTCGGTGTCCCTTTCGATTACAAACGAACGATACTATTTACGAACAGAAGATGATCCTTAATTAGAGATAGTCGATGTATCTCTCGCAGATTTTCACGAGGCTCTCCTTCACGCGAATCGTACGAATGCAGAGTTGTGTCAAAGAGCAAGTTGTGCGCGTAAAACATGTTCGTCGGATTGCGACCTGTCTCCGATCAACCGCCACGCAGAATTCGAGTTAGGTTACATTTTCACGCCGAGGATCACCTCAAACGAATGAACGTTGTCTACTGCAACCTACTATCAAAGCTTCAAAGGTACATCCCGTGAAGGAACTATTCGAAACCGAATCGAAGAAATCACGACCGAGATCCCTCGTGTCTGCAATAACTCGTCGACGATCGACGAAATATCTTCAGTTTCGTTTTCTCGAGCGAGATCTAACACCATCGGGCTTCGAGAATCGTTTCTATACTGATTATTAACGATATCTATGTTCCGCTAATCTGACGCGATCCGACAATGAGATGAAAACTCAACGCTTACGTCGAAATTCACGCCCCGGTTACCCCTTACAAAATATTTGTGCCGTTTTATACAAAAAAACTTAAGCTTACCCCCTTAACAACTGACGAGCTCTATATGTATACTCTAAAGACCGCGGATAAAGTATGATACAGAGTTTGTACAAACGCGTCGCGTACATGTGTTACAACTTATTACAACAACGCCGGTTATTACATTCCTGCGAGGTAACGCGTACGCTATTACGGAAACGCGGATCCGCGTAATTACACTCTAGGAACATCTCGAGGATCTGTCAACATCCTTACCGACCGGAGGTATCCGACATAGCGTCTCGTTCGTTCTACGATCGCAGTTAGATCGATCGATGGGTCGGTTCTCATCGATCGACGAAAAGTCGACTCGATCGAAGTCGCTGTGGTTACAATTTAGCCTCGAGCAAACCTCGACTCTGCGTCGTCGACGTGTACGACCCTTCATTTATCTCCGCAGAATCCCGTGATCGGTACAGTATTGTATTCTTTGTGCCAACTCTGTATAATACATACAGAATCGATCTTCTATATATATATAGTATATATATATACTTAAGTACGAGAAATGCATGACTGGTCGACGTTTTAGCTTCGCGTAAACTTATGGCTTTATGTACAAACGATCCTCACGTGTACGTTGCTGCCTGTCGAATGTAACTTCGGTAACGATCGTTCGGGATTCGTTACATCGCTGGCAGAACGATCGGTTATTTCGAAAGCATGATTTCACATTTTTTTTTTTTTTTGCTTTTTTGACTGTTATATATTAAGCGTCTTCGGATCCAGCTTCGCCCTGATCGTTCAGGGAAAGCTCGTTCCGCGTCACTCTGTTATCGGACAGAGATTCATGGAAGATCACGGGAACGTTTGCGACGTTGGTTCGTCGGATCGAGTGAAATTGTTGGCTGTCGTGCCCGTGAATTCCGATTTCTGGCATCGACTTTCATCGTGAACAAAGAACACCTCGAACGAGCTGTGTTGTGCAGCGTAGCTCTTCGCGATCGTCAAACGTACAAGAGATGCAATTTACATTTACAATTAGCTATGGATAAGTATGCTCGACGAGTTAATTATACGAATTAGCTCGACATTAGCCGGAGAAATACGAAACGTAAGGAGCGTTCTTCGTACACGAGCGTCGACCGTGTTCATCCTTCTTGCTCCATTCATCTTTCGACAAGTCTGACTTGTTCGAATCAGGCCTCGATACTCCTCGTTGCTCCATCGAGACAGCGGATACATGTTCCGTTAGCGGTTTCAAAGACGACTCTGCGCGAGTATTACAATTACGTACGCGATTCTCTTATGTGGCACCGTGAAGGAAGCTTTGCTCTTACAGCATCGCGCCTATGTTCAGGCGGCTCGACTCGACCAAACGTTCCGATTTCGACCCGAAACACGCGTTATGAGGGGTAAAAAATACGTGCACGCGCTGGGCTTCGTCGAGTCGAGGCAACCGATTCGTTTCTTTTTACGACTAACATGAGCTCGAGCCACGAGATCTCGAATAGTGAGCCATGGTGTCTTTGCCACAAAGTACGTCCCTGACCGCCCTGCTGCCGCCCCCAGGTCACCCTCAATCACCATCTCCTGCCCCATGATTCAAGCTGTGCTGTTTGGTGATTTCAACGCTCGCAAAGCTGCAGCCTGCAGCGTACTTTCACGAGTTATGGTACTCGCAAGTGCAGAAAGCGAAAGTCTGATCGTGAAACCAGCGGCCTTCATTCTCGCGCCATACGTGGAACTTGATTACCGTCCAAATCTCTGTGGACAGTATCCGTGTACTAGATGTAGAAAGCTGAAGAGAGCATCTTAACGAGTACTTGAAATTTCATGGATTTCGATCGAATCACCTAGTGTGATCGTTTACAATTACGTTAGCCCAGTTTCAATGGTTCCAGTTCGATCGATAATAAGCGAACTGTTCTAGATCGATAGCTAATCTTTGGTGGTACTTCTCTCAGCTTTCTGTCGCGGTGATGTACAAATTTTCGACTCGGAAGTATCAAATTCCACGCTGCGCCACGCATTGCAGATGTCGCGTAGTAAAGCAAGACTGCCTGTCTATCGAAGTGTTTGGTACTTTGGCCAGACGTTAGCGAGATTTCGATCAATTGCTGAACGCCGAAAGCGGAAATCTCGAGAAGCATTATGCTCCACAGCTGCGTTAACGACAGTGACACGAGATGCAATGTTATACAGAGAAACTGGTCGAACGACACACGAGGACATGCGTTTTTCGAAGTTGGTGAGACGCGTGAATGGAGGTTGACGTTGAAGCGTTGAAAAGGTATTTCGATCGAGTTATTGTCGTTGCACCAACTTTCCTTATACTCAATTGCGAATTTCTTTCTTTCTTTCCCTCTTTATACGGATCCGTTCAGATGCTTCTGAACGAAGAAGTAACGAAGCAATCAAAGTCAGTGCAAAGAGTGAAAGGGTTCGTTAACGATGAAACGTGATGCATTTTAATTTTGCCTCGCCGCCACTCTCACTGGTCTTTCGATAACACGAATTTGCTCAACGATCTCGAAGCAGCAGCAAAATATATCGTAGCAGCTCGCACTTGATGCCGCGAACAAGAGGACTAGTTACGTGTCCCGGCAAAAGTGCTTTCCTCGAGCTAGAGCAGCGTAAAGCGACTTTTGCCATGGCCGTTTATTATTCCAAGCTATTTGCATTCGCATCGGATCCTGGTCTCTTTGATATGGCTGTATTATTGCCATTGAACGTGGAATTTTCTCGTGCAACTTAACGATCTCTACATTGTTCGTATTCGTTTCCTCTGTATATACAGTTTGCCGACTATTTCAGAGTTGTGTGACACAATGAAACTCTGGAATGCGAAAAGGCGAGCGAATGACCGTTCTCCTTCTTACCCAGTGACGTTAATTCGGCTCTCGTTCGTAGTAAACACGATTCAAACGTACGCGTCAATGTTGGGCTGGTGTTAAAAATTTGGAAAATCTAGATAAGGTGACAACTGACATCCGTGGCGGAAAGAAAATGGCGAATAAGGGAATCTGGATTGAACGACGATGATCGTGCGTGTTCTCGATTCTTCGCACGGTTTGACGCGTGCGTTTTTGTGCAAAAGCGTGCCTGAATTTTCTCGTCGTCTCCCTTGCTACCTGACATGTCTCATGTACCGCTTCTCGAGCGCAATGTGACTCGAGCCGAAAGCCCGTTAAGTTTCCCTATGTTGAGCAACGCAGAGGTACGTGTACTGTGGCTAATCGCTGATATATAGCTTGTGCTCGAAGCAATTACGATTTAGAAACGTACACGTCGATAATCTAATATTACCTCTTCGAAAAAGCGCACGCGTTTTCGAAGTTCATTTCGTCGGATACAAATTCAATGTGCTTGTAAGAAATTACGCGGTCGGCTTATCATCTAGATACTTCTTAGTTAATCAGGAAACCAGTCGATTGGCTCTGTAGCACCGGTAGAATATTTTGCATTCTTCTTTCTCAACGAAACTTTCTAACGAGCGAGTTTCGTTCGACATTTCTTTCGCTTCTCGAAGAACGATCCAGTCGTGTTGGTCGTTCGATGTTCGTTCCTCGATGGAGTTCAAGCATTCGTGCTCTATTAACAATCATAGATTAGACCAGATTCCGTGTTCCGGGGAACGCTACTTCAATAATGTCAAAATTATCTCTCGAAGGGATGCCCCGCTGCTCGACTTTAAATTTAAACCGAAATTGACACAGTTTCAAACGAGAATTCAAATACTTCCTTCAAGGAGATATTTAAAGCTCGGCATTGCACAATGTTCCAATTGTCCCGACTAATCTCAGTCAGTTCGGTTTTCAAATTCGTGTTTACAAAAATAAATCGCAACCCAGCGAAATCGATTGTTCGCATAATAATTTATCCCCAGTACCGTCATGACGAACCATCGCCCCCATGTCCCTAGCGTACGGTGTCTAAGAACCGTACAGGCGAGCTCTACGCGCGCGATCCCTTCGAGAAATGTCAAGATCCCGTTCAGCGAGTCCCGGTGGACCTGCTGGGGGTGTCCAGAGGGGCCGACGTGTACGTTTCGCTGGGGCAGGCGAGGGTTCTTTCTAGAAAAGCAGAAAGGAGACCCGAGTGCGGCGAGCGTCCCCCTTGGCCCGTCGGGCCATCCCAAACTGTCAGACGGACGGGTCGCTGCCGGGGGCGGAGCCCGTCTTGCTGCCGTCGACACCAGCACCGCCACCGTCGCCGTCGGCGCCTGCACCCTCTCCGCCCCTGTACGGCGAGCCGCCGGCCCCACGCGCCGACAGACCTCGGAAATCCAGGTTGTACTGAAAAACAGGCCCAGAACAACAGATTATCAAGTGTGTATTTCTCTCCCGTCCATTCTTCTTCGTCCATGACAGGGGTGAACTAAGGGTTCAGATACGTCGGGCGAAAGACATTTTCTTAATTTTCTTAATTTTCTTAATTTAGAAACGTCGTTTAAAACGTTGAATTGAAATTTTCTCGCAGGGCGTGTGCAAATTAATTCGTACGCCTTATGAAAAAGGGTTGCCTTGGGAAAATGGCAACCTTCGAGGTTGAATTCTCTGTTCTCTGTCACATCGTATTTTACTCGTCATTCAGAGAAACTATGCGAAAGGATCACAAATTACAAGCGTGAATAGTTCTCTCGAAAAGTTGACCGTAAATGCTTCGACTCGTTTCACGGACAAACGTCACGTGACCGCTCGGTCAATAATTTTCTAGTCCCCAAGTACCATGCTCGATACATGTGTCGATGTCGATATATGTAACGAGCAAAATGTAGTAAATCGTTTTTGACACTGGAAATCTGTTCGATGTAACGGTGAAAAAATGAAACGTGTTATTGCGTTATTGCTACTCGTCCGACGCGAAACCAATTGAAAACAGTCATTAAACCGCGATACGTTTCAGCAGATCCGTTAGTGACACCTATTGAAACTGTTAAAACGTTAAATATCAAAATATCAATACATTCCGAAATTGTTCGTTCTTTCGTGATATTTTTCGCACGTTTACGCCTGTGTCCTCGTCGCGCACTCGCACCTCTCGCTCGCTCGCGTTCATTGACCGATCCCAACTTCGTGACGCGTGAGGTTAGCGACAGACACCCAGTCAGCATTTTTCTACTATTTACTACCAAACGTACGCATTTGCAGGAAAAACGCGTGGGTCGGGCTTTTAAATCTCAATGAACGTATCCTTGCTGCGAACGCTAACTTCGAAAGCGTGTATCCCGGGAAACACGATTGAGATAACGATGCAAAATGGAAAAGGGATACAAAGTGCACACGTTTGCATATATCCCGAATTATATTTTTAAAAAATTTTACGATTACTACGTCAGCGATTCGCATTTGACTTCAGTGCGACTCTGCGTCGTACTACGAGTAATTAATTATTGTAATTATTCGTTAGAATGAATTTTTTGATATTTTTTGATATTAATTCCAAGTTGAATTAATTCGTAACCAATTCGAAATATTTTCGCCCAACGTATCGATATTTCGTTCGATAATTATTATAGGCGCTTCAGTCGCAAATGATTTCGTTATTATCGTAATTGTTAATGACGCACCGATCATGGAGGACGAATATTGTTATCTGGTTATGCAAAAATACTCGAACTCAAGAAAAAGAAAAGGAAGAAATCCAATGGTTATGGTGAATTGTTATTCTAATGCAATTTAGGGAGATCGTGTATGTTAATTGATTACATCGAGAAATAAGCGTTATGTTCTGCGGTTCTCGGCGCGCCGTGTCTGACATTAATTGAAAAGACGAGTAATAAATTCTGTTACGAAACACGGTATTGCCCATTCCTGTAAAGATAGCTGAAAACAGTAAACTAGATTGATTAACAGTTCCTCTTCGTGCTGTGGGTTACGTTGAATATTGACATCGTGTACCTTGTTAATCGAAGCAAGATTCTTCATACGCATCCGTAAAAAACGTCTGCAAAAGTGTAATAAGAAAAAAGAAAAAAAAAAGAAAAGAAAAACTCAAGCCAACTTATTAGAGCAGTAAATCAAAGCCTACGCGTAAAATGCATCACGAAAAAGAAAAGCAACAACGAAGAAGGAGAAACGCAACTATCGAGCGAAAATGATCCAGAAACGATCGATCGAGTTAGACGACAGAACCGCAAATTTTAATTGCTTGTCAAATATTCGAAATACATAATAAAATTTAGTATCCATAAATTGACAACAGGTAGCAGTCAGCGAACTAATTGTAAGTCGAGATTTCGAGTTAGTCGACAATTTTTCTAATTTTTCTCATTTGGTGTTAGACATTTATGTCCAAAAATTCCAAAAGATCATAATTTCGGCGATTTTTCAACGTTGTCATTGTCACACGAAAAGATTATTCGAGATACAAAATAAAATTTAGTATCTATAAATTGGCAATAGATAGCAATCAGCAAATTAATTATACGTCGGAATTTCGAGTTAATTGACAACTTGTCTAATTTTTCTCGCGTGGTGTTAAATACTTATGATCAAAAATTCCAAAAGATCCTAAATTTCGACGATTTTTCAACGTTGTCATTGTCTCATCGATCGAAATCGGTAATCGATACGATAAATCATGAATACGCCATATCTGAGATATATGACAAGATTATTCGAGATACAAAATAAAAATTAGTATCCATAAATTGGCAGCAGGTAGCAATCAGCAAATTAATTATAAATCAAGATTTCGAGTTAATCGACGATTTGTCTAATTTTTCTCGCGTGGTGTTAAACACTTATGGCCAAAAATTTCAAAAGATCCTAAATTTCGGCAATTTTTCAAAGTCGTCATTGTCTCATCGATAGAAATTGGTAATCGATACGATAAATCACGAGATACAAAATAAAAATTAGTATCCATAAATTGACAGCAAGTAGCAGCCAGCAAACTAACTATAAGTCAAGATTTCGAGTTAATCGACAATTTTCTAATTTTTCTCGCTCGGTGTTAGACACCTGTGACCAAAAATTCCAAAAGATCCAAAATTTCGGCAATTTTTCAACGTTGTCATTGTTTCATCAATCGAAGCAATCGGTGCGCGCTATATCTGAGACATATGAAAAGATTGCGCAGAAGACTAAAAGAGACAGAAGACTATTCGCTTTAGAAGCAACTATTATAAACGCGTGGTAGCATATTAACTGGAAGCGCGAAACTTCACGAAATTACCGTCACGTTGATTTCATCGACACCGTGAAACTTCATTAACCTACTTTGCGCCGGGGTACGAGCAAAGGGTGCTCTGTTCTGCGCCGAAACGGGCGTCCTCGATCGATCGCGATTGGAACATCAACGCGAAGAGAATTAAGGGCGAAGCAACTCGGAAAGCAACGTGAAAAGCGGCCATAACCAAAACTAAAGGTGGAAACCAAAGTCGAACCTGTGCAACGGAAAGAACAGCGCTTCGGCGTGCGCGCGTAGCGACGTGGCTGCCGCGTGAACACGTGCGACCTTCGCGGTTGCAACGAAAGTCTGTGTTATCTTGGCAAGGTGGCGTGTCTTAGGTGCTGCAGCTGTGCCTGTTGCAGCTGCAGCTGCAGCAGCTGTAGATTCTGCAGGCAATACGGGGCCTGCGGGCCGCAACTGGAATTGGTGGCGGTTGACGAGAAGGGAAGGACCGATGGATGAACAAAGGATGCGGAGTTTCGTGTGCTGTTGTTGGAGGCGGTGGTCGTCTGATGGGTGTTGTAGTTGAAGAGAGGGAAACCGAGATTGGGACTTCTCAGAATGCCGTGAAACTGGGCCGAGGTTAGTGGATGGGGCTGCACATAGGGACTGGTGGATGGAAGCAATTGGGGACTAACTGGGTATAAGCAATCCTCTTCAGCTAGGCCAGGCACCGTTGGACTGAGCTCCACGTACTGCGGCATCGTGACATTGTGCTATTCGACGGATGCATGGAAGGATATGTAGAACACTTTACTGCGTCGCGATCTATGTGGATCATCTGTGCGAATATTTGCGTCCGGAGTGTAGCTTTCACGGGGATCTGTGCTTCGTCGTTTGCTTTTATTCCAGTCTGATTAAACGTGGCAATGACAGTCGTGGTGACTATTAGTTTCATCGCATTATTTCTACGATAAATTTCACTCGTTTGAGCCAATTGCAATTTAACCAGTTAACTGTGATCGACGAGCACGCTCGTCATGGAGAAGTGGCAGGATTTTGTGTCACGACGAGTATACTCGTCATGCGTAAAAAGTAGCGACCGTTGGCTATTTAAATTGTAATTCTTGTGCAAAATAAAACATATTCTCAAATTTCAAGATGTTTAGAATATTTTGAGGCTAGGCCGGAATAAAACAAACAAATAAAAAATATGAATAATTTGAGACGAACTCATGCGTCCCCGTATGCACCGGCTGAAACAGCTTATCAGTTCGCATAACGAATTTATTTATGCGCGATGATAACGTTTTTCAGATGCTAGCGTAAAAGGGGCAAAAGCAAAAGTCGGAAAGCTGATTTACGATAGGGTTCCTTCAGGGATGGTCCGCCACGGGACAAATGCGTGACGCTGACCAGATGTACAGCCCATTGATGGCTGCTGGTCCGAAGTTACCTAGCTATTTTTTGACGGTCACTAAAATTCATAGATATCCATAAAAACTAACCAATAAGAGAATAGATGTTAACCAAATAAGTAAATATTAGTAATAAAATTGTCAATTTTATAAAATAAACTCATCTTTTTGATCCAATATTTTAACAGCGACACTTACTCTGTGATTGACGAGTATACTCGTCGTCGCTCGATTTTCGCGACACATATAGGTGCGCGCCCTCAAAAGGGGGCGCCACAGTTAACTGGTTAAATATTTATGTACGAAAAGCGTTTGGATAATTTGGATATTATTACCTGCAGCGTGTAAATACGTTACTTAATTGTTTGCAGGAAATTGCGTACAACCTGAGATAGGTTATTCTTTTCTATAATAGTTTAACCCTTTGTACTCAAGATTCGCCTTTCAGTTGCCATTTGATAAAATTTCGAAGCTCGATATTAATTAATATATCAAATTTAAAATAATGTAACAGTGTGGGAGGTATCGAAATTAAATAATTCTACGTATTAATTATCATACGACTTGTTATTCACTGTTCAGAAAAATATCGTCAGCTGTGTAAGAAAATCTTTGAACTTCTTTCTTCTTTAGCCAAAATAATCGTCGAGTACAAAGGGTTAATACATAAAATTGAAAATCTTCAAATCATGATCTCGAGTTTGTCATGACAAACTGCATAATTACGCTCGAATTGCAGTGATATCCAGATTAATGGTATATTTTCAAATTGCAAATATTTAATGGCTCTTAAATTAGAAGAATATATATCTCTTTTCGCAAAGGGTTAACGCGACACATTGACAGCGAACGAATTTGGAACAACGAATATTCGCACAGGAATAAGTTTTCGTGACATTAGAAGTATTACGTACAGCTAAACGTTTACGTAAAAATCGAGACATATTTTACCAACACATAGCTAGCTACGATAAAAATACAGTCCAGTCTTTCCTCCTTGGTACATCGGTACAAACTTAAAATTTTAATTCAATGATATTTCGATAATCGTTAAATCTTCTGCTTGGAAACGTGACAAGGGAGCAAAGACTCGAACACCTCTCGTTCTCGAGCCGAAAAATAAAAAGTGAAAAATACTAAACAAAAGACAAAATTGTAACGTGTTTAAAACGGTAATTCGTGTGGTCGACACTTGGATTCTCCGTGTGCATGGTACAAGACAATGCGATACGCGTACGTATCTTACCTTTGTGGCGCAGACGAAGCACGTGGTGACCACTTTCGAAATCACGTTCATTAAATTTTTTGTCTCCTGTATCACGTTATCGACTTTCGTAAAAGTGGCGGCCTTCCCGACGGTGGGGTTCTTCACGGTGAACTGAAGCTGCTGCACGTACGTTGGCACACGGTCCAGATTTTCCAAGAGTTCTTTCTTGTGCGGGCCCCCTGGTACCTGCACCCATGCAACATCGTATACAAACTTACGTCTTCGTTCGTGTCGCAAGGCAAACGTGAATTGTTTGCAACGGTTTAAGCAGATATATGTTTATCCAATTCGGAAATACGAATTTTTGTCCAATTTAAAACATTTTTCTTCCATTTTAGAATTTCTCAAATTTACGTGTACGATACGTATAATTTGAAGCATAAACGATTTTTGAAAAATAATGACAATACTCTATGTTCATTTACGTATATACAAAATATTTGTCGTATCCTCGACATTGTTAAATTGTTAGAAAATCGCGTTATCTTTAAAATTTTTCTTCAAAAATTTTTGTAAAGTAGAGAAATCTTTTCGACCGAATTCAAATTGTTTTTGAAATGCTATTATAGCGTTTTCGATCATTTATTACGAGACAAATTCGCGATGTTTGATGCAAAAAATCGCCGAAAATCACCAAATCACATTTGCCCTGCGAAATCATCGTTATAGATATGTAGCGTATTCGAATAAGTCTTCAAAGCAATGCTTGATTCTATTTTTCATCGATTGTCTAGTAAAGTAATAAGAAATACTTTGAAATACGTGTATCTCGGATACTTATAAAAATTGCATCTAGTAAGTTAATAAAAAGATCTTCTATCCGTCCTAAAAGAACACAATGCAAGAAGTTTGAAAAGAAAGTGTCAGTTGTTCGAGAACATTAGAGAATGACTGTGTGAATGACAGTGAATTAGTACAGACCTTGCTGTTTTTGCAAGCTTCTCGAATCGCCATTCATTTGCACCATAGATAAAATTATGTGATATGCTTTTCTCAAGCGAATCGCAGCTAAAATGAATTTGAAATAAACAATCGACCGAGATGCGACAATTAAATTTCTCTAAATTCTAAATTCTCACATAGAGCTCTTCCAAGTTCCAAATTATTCATTTTATTTATTTCAGAAACTTCTGCTTCAAGCTTCAAGTTCGAATTTTTATTTTAAAGAAAATTGTTTGATATATCCGATTTAATACTACTAGTATTGGCATGCATGTATTGGAGTCAAAAACGTGATATTTAAATTAACAGCAATGAAATTTAACGCTAAACGTAACAAGGGGAGTTAAATAACCCCTTTCAAAATTTACTTTATAAATTGTACATTTATTGTTATTTCTATCGCTCATCTGACTTTCTGTAAATTCTCATATTGTCTGAGTGTTTAACCCTTTAGCTATGGCGGGCGTCGCAGGGAAGGGGTGCGTAATTCTCCCCAAAGATGGTAACATTACAATCATGCAGTCTTTAGTATTCGGTCTTTTGACGCAAATCTTTTGAAGAAAAATAGAAAAGGAAAAACTGATTGTCGCAATAGAGCTTGCAATTCTTTGCGAAGAGAGCTAAGAGGAACGGTAGCACTTGTTTTAACTTTTTACTCAATTTTTGTGGCCGGTGACTATAATCACCCGTCGTGTGAAGATGGTGTCTCGTGACCGCTGACTATAGTCACCCGTTTCGTGTAGATGGTGTCTTGTGACCGGTGACTATAGTCACCCGTTTCGTGTAGATGGCGTCTTGTGACCGGTGACTATAGTCACCCGTTTTGTTTAGATGCGTCTCGTGACCGATGACTATAGTCACCCGTTTCGTGTAGATGGTGTTTTGTGACCGGTGACTATAGGCACCCGTCGTGTGAAGATGGTGTCTCGTGACCGGTGACTATAGTCACCCGTTTCGTGTAGATGGTGTTTTGTGACCGGTGACTATAGTCACCCGTTGTGTGTAGATGGCGTCTTGTAGTCGGTGACTATAGTCACCCGTTTTGTGTAGATGGCGTCTTGTGACTGGTGACTATAGTCACCCGTTTTGTGTAGATGGCGTCTTGTGACCGGTGACTATAGTCACCCGTTGCGTGTAGATGCCATCTCGTGCCAGGTCACTATAGTCACTATAGTAGTAGCGAAAGGGTTAATTTCTTGCTTTCCGTTTTTCTCTTAATTTATTTTTTACCGAGAAAAATTCTTTGCTTAGAAAAATTCTATGCCACGAAGGGCCATTTGACCCCCTATGGTAAGAATATGTGTGTGTAAAATACCGGTACGTTTAGTGTTAACAGAGATATAATTTCAGGAATACTTTATATTTATAAAAGTAAATGTTTCCCTTTGCGAATCGCGTAAAAATGAAAGGAATGTTCACTTTAGCTGCGTTTTAATGATAATTGGTAAAAACGTGGAATCAGAAGCTGGCAAAAACTGAGACATAATAGTCATGCCCCAGATAGTGGAAGGAGAGGGACCACAATGCACATAGACGTCGTCCACAGACGGAAGCATTCCCGTAGCATCTAAAACACACCTTACTAATCGTACACAAAAAAGTCGTAAATGTACGTACACAAAATAGATTTTACCAACAAAATAATGATCATAGTTGATATTGGTGATGTGAGATGTGAGAGATTCAGCGGTATGTCTAACTTTCAACAACGAAAGTCACGTTCCTGCAAAACTTACATGACTAATTATCAAACGTATTAAAAAGTTCTTGCTACTTGGCAAATCGATTTACGATATTCACGTAGCTTTCACAACGAGCGCAAACGAAACGGGAAAATTATCGGAAAATTAATGGTGGCTCGTTACATTTCAAATATCAAAATTCGGATAATCTTCGCCATTCGAAATTCCGATTACACGAAACTCGCCGTGAGAGGAACACATTTTAATCATCGAGTATCCTGAGTATGTTTTGCGTAACCACGGTATACACGCATAAGTTGTAAAAACGACCGGTCTTACGGTTCGATCAGGCAACAAAGGTCTCAAAGATTATTCATACGATTGATTACCTAGTGAAAATTACTTTACTGCCAGGTAAGTAAGAGCGAGAATGAAACGTCGTTCCTTGTAACGTGCTTTCTTCTTCATAGATAAAAGGGATGAGGTACAATTACACTACGTCATTCAAAAGAAACGACTGTTTAGGGTGAATCATACTAGGTGTCACGATCTTGCATAGCACAGTACGTTGCGTATAGTAAGTATATAACAATAAAGAGACGTGTAGTGATGTAAAGAGAAACGACAACACTTAACAGCAACTGGTACAATGAGTTCGCAGAGATACGAGCGGTATAATGCACGGCATGAGAACGATCTGTACAAGGCGAACGTGATCTCTATTAGCCCAACAAGGGTCTAAAGTAAAGAGAGAAAGAGTTACCTGGATGGAGGCATTCAAAGAGCGAGGGTCAAAAAAGGGTTTCATAATACAAGAATATATTACAAGGTTAGCGTTTTTGTTGATTTCTTTCAAGAAGAGTATAGAGAGATTAAAATGGTTTCAGGTAACTATATATATTCGGCCTAGCTAGGAGGGTCGAAAGGGCAGCAAACGTGTTAATTCGAACATGTCTAATGCTAATAACTCGCGCCCGAGCTACTTCCAATCCATTCGTAACGTTACCATGACGTTACATTTCCGCTAATTAAATTCAACTTTTTCACCTATATACATCGGATTTACGTAATCGAACGTATATACGCAATAAAAGCCGGTCCACATCGAGAATCAATGAAATTTACTCTCTCAGGTTAACGAGACACCTGATGATAGGTAAGAAAAATATTGGAATATATTTACACGAATATCTGCAACTTCCTTTGGATTCGACGTAGCTCTAGCGTAGCAATTACGTAAAAAACGAAACTCAATTAGCGAAATTGAAGTAAAAATATTTCCAATATAGCAAGGATCAAAAAACTCGGAATCAAGTCCAGTATAGAATCCGTAATAATAATAAACAATGGTAAAAGAGTATGATTATAAAGTAAGGGCGATGTACGTGTATACGCGTACAGGCGTCTCCTGTACTTGTACACGTATATACATAGCATCTCAACATCAGTCCAATTAAAAAATGTGTATCAGTTTGCTCTCAATCTACGCTGCCTTAGTAACTGATACATACCTGATAGCTGAATTGTCTCACAACCTTGTACAATCTGTTCGCCTCCTCGGCGAAATACTCAGCTTGGGTGAACAGATCTTGGGTGGTCTTCAGCGCCCCCTCGCCCCTGGTGAACTGGTACATCGAGAACGCCATCGAGGACATGTTCTTCGCCCGTTTCACGATGTCGTTATTTTCCTCCAAGGTGCTTCCGCTTTCCTGCCACTTCTCTGTCTCCGCGTCCATCTCCGAGGTAATCAGCTTCATCTCGAGGCCCGCCTTTGCTATCTTTGCCTGTTCCTCGCTGTCCAATTTTACTGGTTTCAGCGGCTTGCTTGTTGTGCCGTGTTTCTACAAACAGCGACAATTAAAGTGGTCAAAATAGGCATATCAATAGGATCAGATCGCAGAAGGTATCGATGGAAAGATTAATAGTTAACGGCAGACTCAATTTTAATTTTAACATATATATTTCAATCGCGATATCTCGTGTACTGTGCGTTCGAGAAAAGAAGGCACAGCGTGTTTACATCCTCACGACTGACTAACTCCACTGACACCTTCTTGATCACAGACAGTAACCGCTATTGGCCGAAAATGGTAACCGATGATCTTCGTCACTATCTTCGGCCAATAGCGGTTACTGCCTGTGATCAAGAAGGTGTCAGTGGAGTTAGTCAGTCGTGAGGATGTAAACACGTTGTGCCTTCTTTTCTCGGACGCACAGTAGACACACATAGAGTTTATTTTCTCCTGCAGGATGAAATTCGCAGAATTTCACGCGGTGTAATAATAATAATAGTATAATGTATAATAATAATAGTAGTAATATATAATAGTACGTTGTATAACAATAATAGTAATTCGGTGGTACTGTTATTATCGTTTAACGCGTTAACATATTAAACGTCACGCCGGTGCCTAGGGACCGACGCTAGACTTTCCGTTCAGGCCTCGCAGGTCCGTAGGGCCCAAAAGGGCCCACGTGACGGCTAACTGTGGCGTGAACGCAATGGCACGTAAAACCGGCGTGGCGTTTTATTAACACGTTAATATTACTAAAGTAACATGATATTACAATGATTAAGAATGGACGTAATAACAATAAAACATTGCTGTATTAAATATTAAAAAAGAGGCGCAATAGCGAGTTGGCCAATCGATTCGTGAAAAGGAAACTTTACTGCAATTGGATTAAAGGAATTAACTTACTCCAGGTCGTGGCAAGGACATGTAAACTTGTTTTTCTGGTCGGTTTTGGTTTAATTCGAGCACATCTTTCGCCACTGTGGTCACGTCAGTCATAAGCCACTGCCACATGTCAGCGAAAACTGAAATGTACGAGAATGAAATTCAGTATTTTATGTTCAGAGGTACAGAAATAGCTTCGGCCCGAGCAGGAAGCTTACAAATGTATTTCGCTACGCAAAAAATTGGAAAGATTCGTACGTGATTAATTTGTTCCTGGATGGAATGCTAACGGTTACATACGTTGCAAATATTTTACCTTCGAGGTTCTCCTTAGCGATTTTACTGGTAGGATGTCTCGCTAAGGTGTACGCCGCTGTCACCACTTGAGGGCCATATATTCTTAGGTTAATTTCCGTAAATTTCGCTGAAACTTGCAATGATTCCGAGAGCGCAACGTGTCTCAGCATTTTGCATACCTATTAATCCACACGTTCGACAATATGAATTATCAATCATGGATGATTTCGCTCGAATTTCAGTAGGATTTAAGATTTCTAACAAATACATTAAATTTCTAACAATTCTAATAATTATTTATATAGTTCAGATAGATTCTCAGAATTATGAAAATGAAAATTAAAAGAAGGGATTGACAAAAGAAGAAAGAAAGTACACCTGGGACTTTTATATAGCAAAAGCTCGTAAAATATAAAATAAGTATAAAACCTATTTAAAAATTGCAAACTATACGAACATAGAAATGACAGAGCTAAAATATAGAAATTCACTAAAATAATTTATTTAATAAAAATTTATGTTCCTTTTGAAACCATACGAAATATTTTTCCATGTGCTAAATATTTTATGAATTATTTTGAATAGTCATCACGCGTGATAGACTCGGTATATACATATATATATAA